TTTTGAGCCAAGTCTTTTGTGTCTGGTTGCATTAAAAGAGTAAGGGAAATACATTTATGATGCTCTACCTTTGCTGTGATATCTCTCCCATTAACTTTATGTTCCAGGAAGTGGGAAGGATGGGAATAGTGGTCCTGTCTGAAATGAGTTACTGGTATGTGTCTTTAGGTGTTATTTGGAAGGGAACTGGCTGGAAAAGCTATTCAATTCGTGTCCCATTTCCTTCAGTCTTCATGAAAAGATGAGTGGAGAGAGAAAGTACTTTCTTCTCACTAAGTTCATGATCTTTAAGCCTCACTTCAATGTTCAGTGTGCGGTCAGCACTGCCAATTCCCTGGTAAATGTTTTGATTGATATTAGATCTTCTCATGGAGTGAGTTCAAATGCTTTGCTTATCAACTTAATACCAACAACGGAAGCTTGGGACGGTCCCCAAGGAGGACTATAAAACAATGGCCTGCACTTGTAGGGAGAAGATCAGAAAGGCTAAGGCAGCAACTGAATTTAAATTGGCAATAGAAATCAAGGACAGTAAGAAGTCCTTCTTTAGGTATGTAGGGAACAGGAGGAAAACAAATGGAAGTGTGGGGCCATTGCTTAACAACTCAGGACAGCTGGTTACCAACATTCAGGAGAAAATTGAACTCTTGAATGACTACTTTGCTTCGGTATTTCATCAGACTAAGGGGAAAATCATGCTTGATAAGGTTCAGAATGGGCATGGTGGGAATGACCGCCTTCCTACTGTTGATGTTGAGCTGGTGCATGATCAGTTAGAAAAGTTAGAAATTTATAAGTCAGCAGGACCAGATGAACTTCATCTGAGAGTGCTGAAGGAGCTGGTCAAAGTCATTGCAGGACCTCTGGTGAAACTATTTCAAAACTCATGGTGCTTGGGGGAGGTCCCTGAAGACTGGAAGAGGGCCGGTGTTGTGCCCATCTTTAAGAATGGGAGAAGAGAGGACCTGGGCAAGTACAGGCCAATTAGCCTAACTTCTACCCTAGCGAAAATCCTGGAAAAATTCATCAAGGAATCAATGTGCGATATACTTGCAGAAGGTGGGTTCCTGACCATCAGCCAGCATTACTTCATTGTAGGCAGGACTTGTCTTACCAATCTCATCTCCTTCTATGACCAGGTAACTCACCACCTGGATAAGAGAGAGTAGGTCAACATTCTATACCTAGACTTCCAAAAGGCCTTTGATCTGGTATCCCATGATGTTCTCACGGGAAAATTGGAGGATTGTGGGCTTAACTATTTGACAGTTAGGTGAGTAGGAAGCTGGTTGTGGGGTAGGACCCAGAGAGTTCTAATGAATGGATCTGTGTCGCCCTGGTGAGAAGTGACCAGTGGTGTTCCTCAGGAGTCCGTACTTGGTCCAGTGCTTTCAACATCTTTATCAATGATTTGGATGTGGGAGTGAAGAGCTCACTGGCCAAGTTCGTGGATGACACCAAGGTATGGGGGATTGTGGTCACACTTGAAGATAGGCTGCAGATACAGGAGGACCTAGACAGGCTGGCAAGTTGGGCGGATTGGAACCAGATGAAGTTCAACATTGAGAAGTGTGAAGTGTTCCATCTAGGGACGAACAATCCCCAACATACTTTGGAGCTTGGTGGCACCAATTTGACTAGCATGATGACTGAAAGGGACCTGGGGTTAATAATAGACCATAGTATGAACATGAGTCATCAGTGCGATGCTGTAGCCAGCATCGCAAACAATACTCTAGCATACATCAACTGATGCATCTCAAGCAAAACCAAGGAGGAGATTCTTTCGCTTTACTCAGCACTGGTGAGACTGCAGCTGGAGTACTGCATCCAGTTCTGGGCACCACACTTCAACAAGGGCATGGAAAAGCTTGAGAGAATCCAGAGAAGACCCCCCTGTATGATCCGAGACTTGCAAGGCAAGCCGTATGAGGAAAGGCTGAGGGACTTGGGCCTCTTCAGCCTAAAAAATAGAAGGCTGAGAGGGGACTTGGTAGCACCTTCCATTACATCAGGGGAATACATCAAGGGCTCAGCAAACAACGGTTCACCAGGGTACCCTAGGGGAAAAGCAGGAGTAATGACCATAAACTCCTGGAAGACCATTTCATGCTTAACATCAGGAAGAACTTCTTCACAGTTAGGGAGTCCAGACTGTGGAATAAACTCCCTCCAGAGGTGGTACAATCACCTACCCTGGAAATCTTCAAGAGGAGACTAGATGGTCACCTTGCTGCCCCTTACATTCTATCCATCTATGAATATATAACTTTATCAGCCATGGGAGAAACAAAGGGGGGCATTCCAGCACTTAAGAGAAACTGCTATTTATTCATCACTAGCATTTTAGCCTTTGAAGGCTTTAACAAATCAAACCTTCTTGCTTTGAACATAACTGTAACTCAGTCTTACAACAAGGATGAATATAGGTGTGTACTTTCTCAGTAAGAATGTACACCTGAAGACCCAAATGAAAAAGAGGAATGCAGAAAGCTTAATGTAATGTCTGTGAAGAGTCTGAATTATCACATGACACATCTCAACCCCTCCAAAGCGGACAGAGGCATGCATATATGTGTTCATACTACAACTATGAAAACTGAAAAAGCCAGCAAGATTCAGCTGCACGTCATATTCTATTTGTGTTCTCTGTGTCGTTATTCTTGCCTGAGAAAGACTTGTTTTACACTTTAGCTGGTCAAAACACAGTTGCCTCACTGATTTCAGCAGAACTTTGGTAACCTTTCCTTTATAGTGTGGAGGAAGAAGAACCCCAGGCCTCCATGTTGAGAAGAAAACCCCAGACCTCCATGTTATCTTAAGGTGCACTGTAAGATTTCCACAATGCTAAGTAGGTCAAAGGGTCAAAAGGTCAGGCCACAGTTTATGCTCTCCTGGAACTTTCTTGTTCAAACCAGTGATTTTCCACTTGTCATATCTTGCGTCATGTGATTTGTTATGGATACTTATAAAAGCTTGCTTCAACTCTCTGCAGAGGAGAGGCTTGGTGTCCTCCCCAGCAGCTGCTGTTAAATAAAGAGTTTCTGCCAACTTCGAAACCAAACACAAGGTGAAGCGTGTTTCTTCCACAATTCTTGGTGCTGTGACTCAGATGGCAACGCTCAGCTGAGAGTACTGACAGGCTTGTGGACCATTCCCCTCTGAAACCCCAGGTGTCAAGTCAAGGTAAGAGACCTTTTGAAATCTCTGAAGGGGTTATTGGTGGAGGACTGCCCATGAGGGTTGGGAAACCTGTTTGAGCTTACACCAGTCAAACTTTTGAAACATGAACTTGTCAGACACTCTAAAGGGTGTATGAAACCGGTTTGAAATTCCCTTGTGTGAATTGAGGAATTCATGTGAATTGAGGAATATGAGCTGCTGACCAGGTCTGGGACTAAGGTTGGGTCTAGTCGCCCCAAGGCTGTCTATAAAGCCAGGCTTGAAAGCAAGGGGGCCCAACTGGAACCTCGTGACCCTGCGGACAGGTTTTTCCTTTCCCCATCCACGGTAACCAGCACATCGGATCCCTTACCCTCTTTCCTGTGTGAGTGTTCGGTGTGAATTGAGGAATAGGGGGCTCTGGATTAAAGGACGTCCCAACCCCACCAAAAGGAACCCCAGCAGGTTATATGTGCACACAATATGGTCAAAACAAGTGTAGGTTTTTAGGTAAATGGAATTGGTATACCAGGGATAATTCTCCAAAACAATTTCCTTTAGAAGGAACCTTTGATATTTATAAACTAATTCACCTCTGAAAAACTCTAGAGTCCTGAGGTAGCAAGATACCACAAATACAATGGGATGTCTATTTTGATTGGTATGAAAAAGGTAATAAGAGGCAACAAGAATCCTGGGTAAGGAGTCTTAAAGACTCCCAAGAAAAATTAAAAGCAGAAATCAAGCAATTGAAAAATAGACACAGCCCTGGCCAGGCTGATCTTCCCTCAGCACCTTCTACCCCGTTATATCCCCCACTAACTCACGAGACCAAGAATGAGCTGTAGAATATTTTAGAAAGCACTTCTTGTTTGATCCAACCACCACCTTACCCTGAACACCTTCCACCTGGATTAGAATCTCCACCTTGTAGTCTGGAGGATGCTTCTGCAAGTTCACATTCCCCTGTAAGTTTAAATAACAGATGCCAGAAAAAGGACCCTATTATTCAAGCACCGTTGCGCCAATTCCCAGGTGCATGAGGCTTGGTAACGGTACATGCCCCTTGCACACCAGGAGATTTAAGAAATCTAGTTAAAGAGTTTCCTAACATCAGGGAAAAACTCCAGAAGTTTAAAGAAGAGCTCCAGGCCATTATTAACTGTTACAAACCTACATGGTCTGATATGAACCAGCTTTTGTGTGCCATACTTCCTTGTGAAGCCTGACAATGCCTAATGCATGAAGCAGATTGGCCCTGGTCATGGGACAGATCTCTCAACCGCCCAACGCCAATTACTAGAAGCAATATCTATCATATGCCCTAAGAAAACTGATTGGGCTAAACTTAATAATTGTAAACAGAATAAAGGAGAGTCTCCAGCAAACTATTTAGACAGACTCAAGTCTTTGGAAGACACTCCAGAATAGATGAAGCTACCCAAAATGCTCGGGAAGCAATCACAGCCACATTTGTCCAAGGCTTACAGACTAAATTAGGAGACCAATTGCATATCATCTGTGTGGGCTAGCAAACAAAACCACTAGATGAACTAGTTCCGGTTGCTAACCATTGTTTAGTGTGCCAGGAAAGAAAGAAAGAAAGTAATGAAGCCAAGTTAATGGCTTTGCAACTTCAAACTTATTACCCTAGAGGACGAGGACATGGAAAAAGGAATTTACGAGGCAGAGGAAGGGGATGTGGGTGCTGGGAGACAAATGTTTCCTCCATTGACCATTCTTTCTGTCTTTACTGTGGTCAAACTGGTCATTGGAAAGGAGATTGTCCCAACAGACTGCCTATCTCTACCCCTTTAACAGGAAACTTTGCAAATCAACAACATCAGCAATTTTCCCCGCCTCTTCCCCAAAATTCGGCATCTCAATATTAGGACTGCCTGAGGGATAGTAACTTCATCCTTTCTCCACTCTTACCCGTTGATTAGTCTGGACCCTATGTAGAATGTGCCATAGCAGGAAAAAAGATAACTTGCCCTGTTGACACAGGGGCAAGCTGTTCCGCTCTGCATCTTTCTGATCTCCCTGATCCACCTCTTTGCAATACTGTTGTTAGTGCTGTCGGTATTTCCAATCAAGTAATTTCTCATCCTATAACTCAATCCTTGTCCATTACCCTTGGTCCTGTTTCGAACCAGCATATTTTCCTTTTAAGCCCTTTTGCCCCCGTTATTCTTTTAGGTCATGATCTACTTTGTAAACTTGGTTGTACTATTTATTGTGCAGTGGATGGAGTTTTCCTTGAAGTACCAGCAGAAAATGAATGCACAGATCTTGCTGCTATGATTGAACCAGTAACTCTACCTATTTCTTTCACAAACCCTGATTTCAAAGAAGAAATCCTTAAACAAGTACCCCCTGCCCTATGGTCACAACATGCAAATGAAGTTGGGCAGATACGCACAGCTGAACCTGTTAAAATTCATTTTGACCTGCAAAAGCAGCTCCCGCGCATCTCCCAGTATCCTCTCAGCAAAGAGGCCAAGCAAGGAATTGCACCAGTCATTTCTTCCCTCTTTCAGCAAGGTATCTTGATCCCCACTTCTAGTCCTTGTAATACTCCAATTCTGCCAGTTAAGAAACGAGGCAAAGCTACTTATCGCTTTGTGCAAGACCTGCGAGCTGTTAATTCTGTTGTTTTACCTGTTTTTCCTGTAGTACATAACCCAGCTACCATTCTTTCTTGAATTCCACCAGAAGTTTGTTTCTTTACTGTTAAAGACTTGTGTTCTGCTTTCTTTTCAATTCCTATTCACCCAGATAGTCAGTTTTTGTTTGCATTTACTTACAAAGGCTTACAATATACTTGGACTAGACTCCCTCAAAGGTATACAGAATCCCCTTCTATCTTTTCTCGAATTTTGAAGAAAGATTTAGATGACATTCAGTTCAAAAACCATTCCGTCCTTATCCAGTATGTCGATGATCTTTTGCTTGCCTCGCCTTCCTTTGAAGCCTGTAAAATTGATTCTCTTCACCTTTTGACCTATCTTGCTTTAAAGGGCCATAAAGCTTCTAAAGAAAAACTTCAGCTCTGCTTATCAAAGGTTCATTATTTAGGACATGATATTTCTGCAGGAGAATGACATATTTCAACTATGCGAGTTGAAGCACTTTTTAAAAATCCCTAGGCCCACAACTGTCTCTCAAATGCACACATTCTTAGGTGCAGCCGGTTATTGCCGCCAGTGGATTTTAGGTTATGCCTCAATTGTAAAACCCTTACAAAATCTTACCTTAGGGGACACCCCTGAACCCTTGCAGTGGTCTCCAGAAGCCAAAAACACCTTTTCTGATATTAAAATTGCCCTTTTGCAGGCACCCGCACTGGGACTTCCTGATTACTCAAAGCCTTTTACACTGTTTGCCATTGAAAGGGTGGCTTTGCTCTGGGACTGCTTGCACAATCCCATGGAGATAAACACCATCCTATCACCTACTCTAGTACAGCCCTAGATTCTGTAGCAACCGGGTTTCCACTATGCCTTCGAGCAGTTGCTGCTGCCGCCATTCTTGTGGAATCATCTGCAAATATTGTCCTAGCTTCACCTTTAACTGTTGCTGTACCCCACTCAGTGGCTGCACTTCTTTTAAAAACCAAAACCCAGCACCTTTCAAATGCTTGTTTAACTAAATATGAAATTCTACTACTTTCTGCAGCACACATTACTTTACTTTGGTGCCCTGTACTTAATCCTACTTCCTTGTTGCGTGCACCTTCCGATGGCGAGCCTCATGACTGCCTCACTGTTACTGCTCATTTGACTTTACCCCAGGATGATCCTAAAGATATTCCTATTTCAAATGCTGACCTAGTCCTGCATGTTGATGGGTCATGCCTAAGAAATTCTAAAGGTTCTCTTGTTGCAGGTTACACTGTATGTTCCCAGCACGAGGTACTCGAAAGTATTTTTTTATCTTCTGTCTATTCAGCCCAAATTGCTGAACTTGATGCCCTCACTCGTGCCTGTACCCTTGCCAAAGGTAAAACTGTTAATATATATACAGATTTGCATTATGCCTTTGGTGTGGTCCATGACTATGGGCGATAATGGAAACAATGTGGGTTTCTTACCTCAAATGGCACACCCATTCGTAATGGTTCTTATGTAGCCGCCTTATTAGATGCCCTTCAGTTACCTGTTGCTGTTGCTATTATTAAATGTGTTGCTCACCAATCTTCCCAGAATAAAGTTATGCGTGGAAATACTCTGACTGACTCTGCTGCCAGAACTGTGGCCTTTTCACCCCCTCAGGCTGAGCAATTGCATAGGGCAACTTCCATCTTCCCCACCCTTCCCACCTTCTCAGATTAATATCCACTTAGCTGATGATCTTGTATTATGGTATGGTCAAGCACTAATGAAATATGTTCACAGTTTCATAGTTTCATGGTTGGTAGGGTTGGAAGGGACCTGAGCAGATCATCAAGTCTGCCATGGGCAGGAAAAAATGCTGGGGTCAAACGACCCCGACTAGGTGATTATCTAGCCTCCTTTTGAAGACCCCCAGGGGAGGAGAGAGCACCACTTCCCTTGGAAGTTGGTTCCAGATCCTAGCTGTCCTGACTGTGAAGTAGTTCTTACGGATGTCTAATCTAAACTTACTCTCCAACAACTTATGGCC